CTGTATTATGGTTTGTATGTAGGGTGGTACTATCACTATATCTAATCTTGGCATGTTTGGAATTAAAAACTTCTCAGCTGTTATTAATCCACCACAGGTTTGTATACAGCTTTATTTACTGTCTGTCTGTCCATTGCTCAGCCTGATGTTTTGCTTTACGGCTGTCAATAACTCAATAAGTTATCCCATAAAGGGACTCATATTCGTCAATTTATCAACCAGTAATGTAGTCAAGTCAGGTAATCAATCAGTCCGTGAATCAGTAGTCTCCTTCACGGTTCCCTGCGCCATCTTGAAAGGTAGCTGTGCCTCGTCATCGAATCGAGACAACCGTTGAGCGTGCAACGATAGAAACCTTCTTTCACACCTACAGACAATTATTCACAGGTATCTATCATTGCATGCTCAACGGTCGTCTCGCTTCAGTGCAAAGGCACGGCTACCTTTCAAGATGGCGCAGGTATCCGTGAAGGAGACTATTGATCAATCTTTTTTCTACTAGGCATGTATATTAGCAGTAGGATCTACAGAAAAGGCTGTAATTCCAGATGAAAGCAGTGAAAAGGGGTAAGAGAGAAATGGCATTTGAAGATTGTGAAAACATTATTAATTTGACACTATGTCAAGAGCAAATGCAGGAAAACCTTGTCAGTATCAATGAACCAGAACACAATAAAGATGAATTAAAATGGTCCCATGTGGATTCATCTTCATTGTATTCTGGTTCATTGATACTGACAAATTGTCTCTAAATAGCCGCTATTTGTTAGTATTTAGTTTGATTTTATTTCATGGTTTTCCTGCGTTTGCTCTATTTTATTGATGTCCATATATTCTCTAGTGAAATAGACTGCCTAACCCTCCCACTGATAGGTTTTCCTGGGACTTTCAGTCCCTCGAGGGCAGAGAAAATAACAAAAATTCTTGGAAAGTGTGATATTGTGGCCAAGTTTTGCAAACACTATCAATTTGATCTCTTCACAGATACAGTGTAGCCAATGTAATGTCAGTCACACTCAGCTGTGACCACCGTGTTGTTGATGGTGCAGTTGGCGCTCAATGGCTTTCAACCTTCAAAAGATATCTGGAAAACCCTTTAACAATGTTACTGTAAATACAAGATTGACTGGAAAGTCTAGTGGTCATCAAACTTTTTAGGTTGGAATTCCTGCAAATATGACACCATTGGAGATGAAATGGGTGCAATCTATTTCTTATGCACTCTGAGACTTTGGAGGGTTTGTTTTCAGTGATCAAGTGAAGGGATAGAAAAATGAAGAAATGGATAAAATGTAGAACAAATTTAAGTGTTGTGACAAGCATTGGGAGAAGCTACACATCAGTACAAGTAATATTTTTATTTACAATAAAAAA